GAAAATAATGCATATCCTGCCTATTTCATGCAGGTACAAAAGAAATAATTTACATGAAGATATCCTTGAAAAGGATGACGTGATAACTCATAATGAAATACCTGATTCAAACAGTGGTCAGAGGGTGATGCGAAGTCTCCAAGAGGAACTGGGCTGACATCACCTGAACCCACTGATCAATCTGAGCTTCACTCAAAACAAAACAAGACATTGTAGCCTCCTGATCTGGTGCAATATGAAATTCACTTCTGATGCATTTTCACCCAAAAAAAATAGGGAAAAAAGCCTGAATCTAAAAGTCTCTAGATTTCACTTCTAGTCTTCAGAAAATGCAGGCATAAAACAAACAAATCTCTACTTCACTGACACATGAAATCTCTGCTAAATGACACCATGAGGAAGCAATTAGCCAAATCCAGAATGTGAAACATTCCTCAGGACAACTGACCTGGTTTCTGAAAAAACTAAATGTCATGAAAAAAGAAAGGATGGAGGGGGTGTGAAAGGAGACACTATAGTAGAAGATTTTAGAAGACTTAAAAGCCATAACAGCAACAACATTTTTAAAAGAGTTAAGAGCCATACAACTAAATACAATGAACATACCTTGTTCGGATACTGATTAAAACAAACCAACTATAAAAAAACAGACAAAATCAGATTTTGGTTTTTTAAATAATCAGGGAAATTTTAACACAGATTGGATATTATATGATACTAGATAATCATTTTTTGTTAGGTGTAATAGTGCCATTGTAACTATGTAAGAAAATTTTGTGATGTATAATCAGGTATTTAGAGTATTTAGAGGTAAAATGACATTGGTGTCTGGGATTCACTTTAAAATTCCCTAATCAAACCAAAAGGGAGGTATGAAACAAACAAGAAGGCAAAATGCAATGGTTGTCAAAACTAGGTGATGAATTCATGGGGTATTATTATACTCTACTTTTGTGTATGGTGGAGAATATTCACAATAAACATTATTGAAAAAGAAAAGTATGGCATACTATACAATGTGACATATTATCAAAGGTTTGATATTTTCTATTTAATACTAATTTATGTTTGCTTTTCTTTTTGTCTAGATGTAATACAAGTAGAGTTTCAGAGTTTGTCACCAAAGGGATGATGGGGTCCTGACAAACCATTCAAAGTAATAAGCTTTTCCTCATACACCTTGGGAATGCCCAAGAAGCTTCTCCTAAAAAGTAAGCTTATGTCTACAGACCATAAGGCAAAGAAAAATTAGACAATCATTTGGTGACAGAGAGAGTGGAGGTAGACAATTCAGATAATTCAGTCGTTAACTGTGCATTCTGACCTGAATCGTGCAGTTTGTCTGTCTCAAAACTTAAAGTGCTTCGATAATTGTACATTCTTCTCTTTGCTTTGTACTGTTTAGACTCATTCTAAATGGGAAAAAAATAAATTGCCTTTGAAGTTAGCCAGAACAGCATGGGACATTCAGGCTATTTTTGGGACAGTGGTTAAAATACTAAGAAGAGCTGAGTGTGTCAAGATGCTCTGATGAACAGGAAAGACTGAGAAGGATGCAGGCTGATGAGGGCCCATGAAAGCCATAAAGATGAGATGGAGTGGGCTGGGGACAGTGCTGTGTGCCAAACTGGGGTCACCACAGCTCTGCGTTTGGCTCGGAGGGTGACCATAGGAATTATAATTCATTTGTCAGGGTTCCCTTTGTTGACTTGATAGCCCTCATCTCAAGCCTAAGTCAGTTTTGGGGTCAGATTTAGGTCAAGGCTCTATTGGTTTGTAGAATGATGACTCTACCAGGGAGGCAAAGTGGGGAAACTCCAAAGAAGCACATACCATCAGTAACCAAAGTCTGTGGGACATGGTTCTGTCTCTTCTCAAGGGACCCTGTACTGGCTTCTTGGTAATATTTCCTGTAGCCTGGATCTTTGGCAAATATGTACTACATCTATTTCATTAATTTCTATCAATAGAGGCTATTTGCTGTCTATCCAGGACACCAAACTGATCCTTCCCACCTGCCTCTCTTTCAAAGCAAATTTTAGAACAACTGTAGTTTCTGCACATCTTGAACCCCCACTCTCTCCCCCAAATTTGGCACTTACATTGGAGAGTCACAAGCACAGAATTCCTTCCTATTACACACTCAAACACAACCTCTGACATCATGCCCCTCAGCAAGGAAGGCTCAGTTGCCAAGGAGTGTCTGTGGTTCATACCAGATTCCAGAAAGACCAGCCCCAAACCACCCTGCTCCTAGGCCTGGCTTATAAACCCAAACTGAACCTTACAGAATAGTTGACAATTCAACAAACATTTCTTGAGAACTGACCCAGGGCGAAGTGCTAGATTCAGTGCCATGGACAATACTAACTGCAGATACAAACTAGTAGAAAAAGAAAAGATCTATACAATTAACTACCTTATGAGGTAGTTATGAGGAAAATTAAAGACAAAGCTAGCTATTACATGAGAAGAATTTGAAGGTGGAGAAATAACAAGGAAGTCTTTATGGAAGAGGGGCATTTGAGCTTTACCTTAAAGAATGGGTAAGCTTCCAATAAATGGATGGATTGGGGTGGTTTCCAAGAAAAGAAAATGCTTATAGCTTGTCATGGATGCAGGAGAGATAGTCTGTGTGAAAGAAGTCCCTGCAGAATATCAGTACACATGAAGAGTATGGGAGGCAAGGTAGAAAGATGAGGAGGGAGCAATACTGAGGCACATCTTGATAGTGGATTCAAGAGAGGCTTTTAGAACACCAATGTCCAGGGTTCGACCTCTGTGCAAGCCAGCCACCAAAAAAAAGAAAAGAAGAAAAAAAAAAAAAAAGATCAAGGACACAACTGCCACCCTTCGTACTTCCTTGATGAATCCAAAGTGCTCACTCCAGGTAAATAGTGACATGCTCATTAGTGAGCTCTTATCCTTGATGTAACCTTTTCTTTCTTATTTAACTGTTTGGCCCTGGACATCAGCAGAGCTTTGGGACAGTAGTTCTCCCTTCACTGTTTTGTCCTAGTACCTGAAATACTGCCATCCCTTGAGCTCAAACGTGTGCCCCACATGTTCCCTACTAAAATTGAATAACAAATACCAGAGAGGAATGGGGCTTGTATTCTAAGTCATTATCCCCGTACTAGGTTGGATTTTTGCCTTAGTTACCATTACCTACCCAAGACCGAAAGATCAAGATGGTGGGAGGCAGAGGTTTAATTAGGAGATTCTGGAACCTGGCATTCTAAGTCATTATCCCCGTACTAGGTTGGATTTTTGCCTTAGTTACCATTACCTATCCAAGACCGAAAGATCAAGATGGTGGGAGGCAGAGGTTTAATTAGGAGATTCTGGAACCTGGATTACTCTCCAGGTCAGGCAGGCTGCAGCTGCAAGTGTCCAACAGAAATTTCCATCCATCCTCTGTAATCACAGAATATCAATACCTCCACTGGCAAGAAAGAAGAAATCAGACGTCCTTGTCAGACCCCTGACACTGGCCAGGCCACAAGGACTGAGGAAGCACGTTGACCCAACGGCCTAAAACGACAGTCTCTCTCAGTCTCATTCTCCCAGCTCTCACCACCTGAATTCCACCTGCTGTGTGGCCTTTCTTGTTCTCTGCTTCTTCCAGTTTCCTTTTCCGTATTTGCCCTTTCCCTTCCTCTACTCCTTCCTTCTCCCGCTGCCTCTCCCGTGTATGCGGTTTGGGTATGCCGCTACCCCAAGGCTTGTATTCTTAAACTTTCATTTTCTTCCACCAGGGGTCGGCTTTGTTTCTTTTTTCCGAGGCTGATGCGGCTCCCTTAGTCCAAAAACAGCCTTTTTTTTTTTTTTTTGAAGGGTTCGTAGACTCAGTGGTCCGGCCACAGGCGAGATGCGCCCCGGGGCCAGAGTTTGAGCGAAGACGGGGTCGCCCAGGGGGAGGCTGGAGCCCTCTGTGCTACCAAAAATGCCCGTTCTCCGCCCCATGTGCGGCGTTGTATTTGACCAAGTCTCCCCGGGTTGGGGACATCAGGAAGTGTTAGGGGGTAAGTAAGGTCATGGCATCGACGCAGCGATGCAAATGCCTGGGCGGGGCGCGCAGCGCTGCGGCGGTGGTCCAGGATCCTGCCCCGAAGGACACGCAGGTAGCTACCCGACTCTGGGCAGCCTACTAGGGGAGCGAAGAAACTTCCCCCGCCTGGGTCTGAGCCCAGGAGGTGGGTTGGTGATGCCGGAAGGTCCTGAATGCCTCAGCCCTGACTATCTACGCCAGGCCGAGATTCGGCGGCCAAGGTCTGTGCCTCCGATTGTCCCACCAGCCGGCCCTTGTACTAGGCGGGAGCAGCCACAACTCCCTTCTCTGAGAACCAAGGACAGGGCATTCACCTCCAAAAGCCTTTTCTTCTTCCTCCTCCCATTTGTTTCTTCCCATTTGCATCCCTCTGGCTGCAGACCAAGAGAGGCGCCCAAATATTAAAGTCGAATTAAAAGGCTAGGGCTTGTGTGCTCCCAAAGCAACCCCTCCCCCCCTTTTTAAAATTGTGTTTCAAAACAACGTGGTGACTTTTGGACAAGATTTTTCTGTTTCACCCACACCACAATAGAGTTGCAATGAATGCGGCTGGTGAAATGTTTGGCTGTGTCAAATTCAGTCCCGCAGGCTGGCTTGGGCCAGCACTGGGGCTCCGCTTTGTGTTATGTTCACGCAGAAGATATTAATTAAAAGAAATACATGATTAAAAAGTAATGAGTTGAATAAAAATTATCTCAGCTCATTTTCTGATTATGTTAATTGTTAAAAACCCTTCAATCACGCCGTTGCAGTCAATGGGCTTTAATGTGAAATTAGTGGGCTCTTGATAACTTACAGTCCAGAATAATCCTGGCGTTTTAGTCATCATTCCTAATAACAAGGATGTCGCTAAGAACAGAAATTTTACATGATTTTGATACATTTAGCCCTTCCCCCCACGTGTCATTAAAAAAAAAGAAAAAGGATTAGCCTACCCGCAATTTCTAACTTCTCCTTCCACGATCAACCGCGGCCTTGGCGAGGACTTGAGTTCGCATTCGGATCCCGCACGCAGCCCCGGGCCGGTGCGTCCGCACGTTGCTGGTTGCTGGTTCCCAACGCGGTGGCCGGGAGCCTTCAGGAAACCGAGCGCGTAGCTTCCCCGCCAGGCGAGGCCAGAGCGCCAAGCTGCTCCCTGGGCTGTGCTGGGGGTGAGGGGTGAAGAGAGCGGAATTCTCAGCTACCAGGGCTGGAGGGGCCGCGCGGCTGCCGGGGGAAAAGGGTCGCCAAGCGGCCGGCGAACAGGGCCATGCGTAACGCGTCTAGACAGTCGCGGTGCGCCCCGCTGGGTCGCAGGGCTGGGGCAGGCCGAGTTGCGGCGCGTGTATGTGTGTGTGTGTGTGTGCGCGCCTCCCGCTTGCACGCTTTCGGAGCTTTGGATGCAGCAGATCTCGAGAACTCATCCAAAGCGCCGAGGAGGCGGAGGGTCAACCGAGCGAGGGCGAAGTTCCCTGAGCCTGAGCCTGGGCCACGCTCCTGACAAAGTGCCGGGTGCAGAGTAGGCTCTTAATGGGTTTTTATTGGATCTAAACGGAAGCTAGTGGAATCCATACATGGTTTTGATAAGTAAGGACGGCTGGGTGTTCTCAGCAGCCCCTGGCCCTTGTGGGGCGCCCTGAAAGCTCCCACCTGCTGGGACCAAACTCAGAGCCCAGGTGGGGCGTGGGCGGGGACGAGGGGTGAGGAGGGGTGTTCCATATCCTCTTTGGACATATCTCACATACAACACAAACACCTTTCACTCTCAATGAGCCGAGGAAAAGAAGAAATGCCCTGCGTCCTCTTCTTTGGCTTCTTGGGAAGCATAGTGCCGCTGAAATTGGGCCTGTGAGGAAGGTGTGATGGGGAAGGTCTGGGGTCCCGGACCTTGGGCCGGTGTGGGGGATGGACTGCCTGCGGCCGGAGGGACGGGCTCCGGGTCTCAGAGCACCTGGCGTCGGACGTCCAGGAACCCAAAAACTTCCTATGCGAGGCGCTTTGACTCCTTGGCCAAACACCACCCGCCGGGCAACTAAAGTTGAAGGTACCTTCCTTACACATGAAGGGACTCAAGCTCCATTTTCCTCCCAGGAGAACTAAATGGGGGAAACCGCATTTCCCGAGAACTGACTGTTTGAAATTATACATACATGCACAAAAGTCTACAGATATTGGTATGCAGGAAGTCTGTGAGCTTGGGGGAGGGGAGAGGGCGGCGAAGTGAAGGATGTCCGTGCGTGTGTTACAGATTTATTCCCAGAGCACGAGGCTCTGTGTCTCAACGAGTCTCGTTCAAAGCTACTACCTTTAAAACTATCTGGATATTCCAAGCAACAAATCGACAGAGTAACCATTGATCTTTCAGAGGGAGAGAAGAAATCTAGGGTAATTAGAGGGGGGAGGAGGAGGGAGAGGGGGATGGGGAGAGATTGGACAAGGGGCATAAAGAATAAGTACGATTTGTAACAATATATATACTAGTAATATTGATTTGATCAACATATCTCAATGTTGAACCCCAAAACATGTATAATCAATTATGATTCAACAACAAAAAAAAAGAAAACTCTCTGGTGGTGGGTGTCTGTTGTTTCTTAGTTTTTCCATTTCTCTTATGCCTTCAAAAGAGCAATTTTCTTTTAAAGGCTTTTAGTATATATATATTCACCCCACCCCCCCTTCCTCGCTTCTCAAGTCTGAACAGGGAGGAATCGTCTCCGGGGATTGGGGCGCGGTGGTGTCAGGGACTGGCTGGGACGAGTCCCAAGGCTAACTCTTGTTCGCCTCTGTATTTGCATCTCCTGTTAGGATGAGGATCATTTTAATAACTAACAATGAACAGGAATGGCATCTAGAGGGCTTGTCGGCAACATTTAAAAGCCAATAGAGTTTATAATTCTACTCTATCATTTCTTATTGATTAGAGTAATCAAGATAAAAAGCTAGCCGGGCTCGGAGAACCTCAGCAGCATATCATTAAAGATAAGAGTCAGTTAATTCTGGAGCTGGGGTAATGTGGCTGAAATGAAGAGTTCATTTGCATGAGATGCTGAGCCCAGTAACAAGGGGACAAAAATCACTAATTAGGATTGCAGAGTGTCTCCCTCTCTGCAAGCACCCTTTCCAGACCGTGGACCAAGCGCATTCGCGTTTATGTAAATCCGGGGCAGGCCTGCAAGCTCTCTCACTAGCACTGTAGACGGCGATCATCACCCCCGCCCTTTACGCCGTCATGCCAGGCCCGGCCAACCCCACTCGGTGGGGACCGGGGTCACTCGGGTCGGATCTCCTCCTTCCCTGCCCATCCCACCCCGGCGCCTGCGGCCACGTGAGGGCGTGCTGCCCACTCCCTTAGGGGGCACGTGGGCCAGCGTCTGGTGCCTAGCACAGGTCCCGCCGCCTAGTCCTCGCCGCGGGCTCCAGTCAGGTCGCTGAGGCCCCCTGGGTCGCTGAGACTTGCAACTCTGGTGCAGCACCTGCGGTGTGAGCGGCGCGGGTGCACCACGGACCCGCGGGAAGCTCGGGTCGTTTTTCCAGGTCTCAGGGCCAAAGTCCGTCACCCCCACCCGGAGGACTCCTTCTAGACTCCCTGCCTGACCTGCCATTTCAGACGGAGCTAGTCCGTGGGCACCCAAGGGCACATACTTGTGCACTGCGAGCGCGAACCTGAGTGTGTGCACGTGCAGCGTGTGCCTGGGTGTGCAGGAATGTGTGCGTGTGGGCGACTATGTGTATGCAAATGTAAATGTGAATGTTCCCTAGCTTGTTGCTGCGTGAACGTTTTTCCGCATGCGTGTACACGTGTGTGGAGGTTGCTGTAAACAGTCCCGTAGTGTATGTATTATATATACATGTGACATGGTGTGTGCGGTGTGTGATGTGCGTGCGTTTGGCGCAAACGGGGGAGGCACAGGCCGAAGAGATCCGCAGAGGGAAAAGCACAGCAGGTTTCAGGGGTGTGGGGGAGCAGGGGTGAGGTGGGAACTGGGCGCTGCCTCCGGGGCCCCCGCGGCGCCTTTGGAGACTGGGGCGCTAGGCGGGAGCGGAGCCGCCGGCCGCAGTGGCGCCTCTGGGGTCGGGCGAGGCGAGAAAGGTGCCGCCTTCGTGCAGCACGCGGCCCTTCTCCACGCCTCTGCGACGAACCAGGGAAAGCAGCCTGTCCTCCCGGTCGAGGGAGGTTCCCTCGCGCCACCCGGGGAAAATGAAAGTAGCCACAAAGGCACCCCAAGTCGGGCACTTTGACCTAATGAGAGAAGAGAACGCGGAAAGGCAGCGGGGCGAGCAAAGACTACGCGTTCACACCGCGGCCGGGGCCCTTTCTCCGCCCGAGGTAGTTTGGACTTCGGGTCCTCCGCGGCCCTCCCAAATCCAGTGTCGGGGGAGCCCCGGGCTGTGGCCCCAGCGGGCGCCGGAACAGTCGGGAACCTGGAGGTTCCTTCCGGGGAAGGAGGGAGGAAGGAAGGGGGCGCGGCTGCTGGGGCGCCCACCGAGCCGCGGCCCACTTTACAGCGGCCTCTTTAGAACTAACTTTGCCGCTCACTTGGCTGCGGCAGAAAGGAATCGAGGCCTGTGTCACATAATTGCAGGTGGCAGCGTGGAAGGTGGCAGCGTTTGCACACTCTCGCAGGTCCCGCGGCCTCCAGCACCCCACCCCTGCGGCCGCGCCTGGCGCGGGCTTCACAGCTGGGGGCTCCCTCGCCACCCACCCCTGGGCCTCCCCATACAGAATAAAGTCAGTCTGTATTTAATGGTTATGGCGGATGTGAGGGGGATTTGGCAGAGGCAGAAGAGAGGCCTTTCGCTCTCAAATATCGCTCCTTACGTCGTGTGAGTCTACCAACCCACCGCGACCCCATATTCTTGTGCGGGTGTCTGACTCGAATGACAAGCGAGCTGATTTTTTCAGTACATAGCTGGGAAATGTAGTGAGTGATAATAGAGATTTCTCTTTCATTTTTTACGCTTGACTTGGTTATTGTTGCTTTTCTTTTCCCGTGATTCCTTCTGAGGATTAGCTCTGACTTCCCCACTATTGGCGGTCAAAGTGGCCCCGACTCGGGATGACAATTGACGGGGATCAAGGGATTGCCCATTCTGTGCCTGTAAGAACGGATTCGTGCCAGAGAAACTCATCAAGTGGAGGCGGAGAATAAAGAGCGTTCGGGGGTAAATGTATTCATTGAGAAGGCTTCTCCCAAATTGCTTCTAAGTTTTTTTAATGAAAAGTAACGATTGCAGCAATCAGCGGCTTTTTGGCGGATTACAAATGTGGAGGGAGCTGCGGCGCTGCATTGAAGAGTGCCCCCGCCTTCGCACGGGGCAGCCGGTTCACAGGAGCAGCGCGAGGGGCGGGGGTCCCGCCGCAAGACAAAGGCGGGGAGGGGGCGAGCCGAGGAGGTGGCTCGGGCGCACCCCGGGGAGCGCACGGGGAGCTGTCCACCCTGGCGCAGGCACGGCGGGGAGCCCCCACCGAGGGAGGCGAGGGGCAGGGTGCAGGAGGTCGACCCCAGCACCAGCACCACCGGCTAAATTCCGAGCACGTGGAGCGAGGAAGGTGCGCGCGAGGGGCCGTAGAGGGCGGCGGAATGGAAGGTGCCACCTGGTCCCGCCCCCCTCCACCTCCGGCCCCCTCGCACGCTAGTTTCTTCTTTTAGTGACGCCTTATTTTGCGAACCCGAACGATGCGTGGAAGCCAGCTTGGCTGGGATCGGGTCTTCCCAGGGTGTCACAGGCGGGGGGGTGGGGAGAAAGCTGGGTCCTTCCTGGGCGGGGGCAGGGCGCCCGCTCGTAGGACCCGCCAGAGCTGGCCCGGCGCGGAGGTGGACCCCTACTCCCAGATGCATCCGAATGGCGCGCGCCAGTCCCCTCTGCCACTGTGGAAGCCGTATGCACCCCTCGCCCTCGCCCTCTCAGCCTCCGGGTGCAAAGTCTCCAGGCCTGCACTGCGCCCGGGCCTAGGCCGCAGCGCCCCCAGCCCCAGGACGCGGGGAGCCGCCTTGGAAAATGCGGACGGGGGGAAAGACAAAGGGCAGGGCAAATCGCTACTCCCGTAGAGGCCGAAATCAGCTGCGGCTGCCTGAGGCCACCGCATTCATCCTGACTTTTAATACATTAACTTTTAAAATAGTGTATCTTAGCAGTGGGGTGGGAGTATGTTTGTTCGCTTCGATTTCTTTAAGGCTCTCTGAAGTAAGTAAGGGGAGCAGAGAGACAAGGGTGAAGAGGACAAGAAAGACTCTCCCCTCTCCTTCCCCCTCCGCAAGTTTAAGAACAAATCCAGCAGGCAGGTCCGCAGCCCTGAAGGTTTAACCCTTTTGCTTTGCAGCTTGTCAATGCGACCATTGCTTTGATGGGAGGCTCCTCAAGGTGACACATTTCTGAACTTCACCCCCTTTTCAAACTAACTCCCTACCTCCTTGTTAGTGGCCAGCTCTGAACTTCTGCAGAGTGTTTTTGTGTGAGTCAAGGCTCATTCACGGGCGCTTTTGTGGGCCTCTCCTCCTTTCAGGCCTCAGCGTGTTACACCAATTAAAGGGCGACGTGCTGTAAATGTAATGGGCCGCGCAGCGATTGTTTCTGACAAGCAACAAAACACATAGATCCACCCCTTAGATTAGGCCGTTGAAGGGGAGGTTGAGGCCGGTCAGTTTACTGAATAGTTTGTGAACTGTAATTCTGAGGGCTCATGTGAAAAAAAAGTCTCTTCCCACCTCCCACGCCTTGCTCCTCCTCCCTAATAGCTCACAAAAAGGGAGAAAAAGGAAAAAAAAGTGACATCCATGGGGCAGAATGGGGTCACTTGAGAAAAAACCTGGGTGAGGGGCTTGTTCTGTCACTTGCACAGTCCAAAGAGCCCCTTCAGCTCTTTGCTCCTTACTCTTTGATTGAAAACGTCCAGCCTGGCCCTCAGTGTTACTGGCCATAGCAGTCTTGTCCCCTGATGGTGGGCCTAGTACCCTCCCCGCCCCCCACCCCCCACAGTATGACTTGAGATGAGGGTGGGAGTGAGGAAAAGTCAGGTTGTCTTGGAAAATTCCACTGGGGTTTGATCTGGCTCTGGAGGAATACCCGTAAGTCACCCGCACCCGCCCCTCCCCTGGCAGGACACTTAGCCCCTGGCTTTGCCTCCAGCCCCCAGGCCTTCCCACAGTCCAGGCTGGTGCAGAGACCTCCAGGCCAGCACTTCACCTGGGCTCTTTGTATTTTCTGAGATTTCCCCCTCTTTTCCAGTGCCTTGCATTAGTCCTGGCTTCTGCAACTCTCTGTCATCACCTGAAATTTAAGGAGCACATTTCACCTGGAAATAAGAGCTTTAGAGATTACTCCGTCTTCCTCACAAATTCTGAGGCCCAGAGAAGAGAAGCGACTGGACCAAGGTTACAAAGCAAGTTGCTGAGCTTCGACTGAAGTTCAAATCTCCCTCCCACCCGCTGGGCCAGGCCATGCCATTCCAGAAAATACCCGCCCATCCACACCTCCCATGCCTCAAGGATGGCATTTCACCCCTCATCACCCTCAGGGAATTCCAGCTCCTGAGGCTTTGTTTATGTGCTCCTCCTCCCACTCCCCTGCGCTCCCTCCTGCCACTCTCTGCCCACCTCCAGCCTTGCCAGCCCAGCTCTGTTCAACAGCCAGTGAGTGTGTCATGTACAGAGAGTGTACAACCTTTTCTATGAGACTCCCCAGCTACTCTTACTCAGTACGTGCCCTCCCCACTGAAACTCATTTACCGGGAACTTCACCTTCCTCCCCCATCATGTTCTGCCTGGAAACCTATGCATTCCTCAAGACCCCGATCAAATGGTACTTATTCTGCGAAGCCATCCCAGGCTGCAAAGACCCAAAGGAAGGAAGGAGGTTTAGCCTGATGGAGAAACTGAACGAAGCCAAGTGTGACTGGAGCAGAGTGAGGCTGCAGGGAAGGGCAAATGTCAGCCTTGTGGACCATGCAAGGATTTTATATTGTACCCTGGAAGCCACTGAACAGTTCTGAGCAGTGAGCTTGCTTAGGCTGAACTTCCGGAGAATAGAGACTCCATCCCTTTCACCTTTGTGTCCTTATACTCCTGTCCCCAAGTCTGGCACATAATGCTTAAGAAATGTTTGCTAGGGCTGGCCAGCTAGCTCAGTTGGTTAGAGCATGGTGCTGATAACACCAAGATCTGGGTCTCAATCCCTGTACTGGCCAGCCACCAAAACAAAGAAAGAAAGAAAAAGAAGAGAAAAGAAAAAGAAATGTTTGCTGAACAATGAAGCGATAACTCAGTAAATGGATACCACCCAGCCCTTCTTCACTACTTAATTGTGGCTAACCAAGTTGTAAGTGCCAGGATTGCAGGAACCAAGTCATGGTATCTTTGAATTCTCAACAATACCTGAGGTCTGGGGTTTGGATCCCCATACTGACCAGCTGCCAAAAACAAACAAAGAAACCAACAAACAAAAAACACAGTACCTGACTGATTGACACTGGTTCCGTGCTAGGATATTTGGTATAGTACTCGCTTGTCCATTGACTAAAGGTGTGCATGGCAAAGAACTTACATCAGGAGGCCTGACATGTCTTGTTCTTGCCAGTACTAATAGCCTCACATTACTTAACCAC